ACTAACTGGTTTGCATACTAAGTCTAGTTTTGATAAATTTGGCATAATTATTTACATAAGTACAGCAAGAATAGTAATTGATTATATGGGCTCTTTTAAATCTGCTTTGCTGGAAGCTTACAAGGAATCTCAGGTTGAACTTTAAAGGTCTCTCAAGGCCAGGAAAGCCAAGCCAAGGACCTATCATCAGATTCCATCTGCAGTACTTACAGATTTGGGTGAATCACTCTCTTCATGAGGTTCCCCAAAATATTGAGCTTCCTTGTAACTGCCAGAGGGAATGACATTCTTTGCTCAACCTTACCAGGTTACTGAACTCATAAGAACAGTACCAGGCCAATATTTCCAAGTGGCTTTATTCCACAACATCAACCTTTATTCCTCAAAACCTGTCTGATCATATCCGAGCCTGTATGTTTCTCTCAAATATGACATTCCGGTCAAAGCCTTGGTATTATAGCCAGTGTTTCCAATTGTGTCTTGTTATAAGAAGAACAGACTCTTATTGAACTTATGCAAACAACCATATTGCCATGAGAATAAGAATACTTACTAAGAATTTCCAAATTCTGGAGGGATCAGGTAGGGAAAGAAAGATGAATGCTTCAATTTTGTTTACAAATTGCTATAAGTCATAGTTCCCTAAGAGAATAGAGAAAAAGGTTTTCTTAAATTTGGAAAAAACCCCAAAACATCAAAAATCAGCAAAATCTCAAGCAAAAAGCCATAAAAATTATAATCATCCCTATCAGTTTATTCTGTCCTGTTAATTGCTTCTTGATCTTAATCTTCTGTCAGCAGTTTGTGCAGTCATCAGTTCCTCTGTTAGAGTTCTGTAATTTTTACCCAGTTTAGTTTTACAATCTGAATGTTTATTAGAATCTGTATTCTAGAGTGTCAGAGTCCTTTCCATGAATTTCTCTGAAGATGAAACATATTTGCAAAAACATCAGAGTAAAACAATTGTCTATAAATAACGAAACATTAAAAAATGGTAATTAACAAAGACATTTGACCATCTCTGTGATATATAACATTTTGAGATAATAACCAGAATCATGGCTGACAATCAGAACAGATCAGAATTTTACGTGATTTTTAAATTACTTACATCAATAACACTTATTCACATAATACCATTTAAGAAAGTTTATTACTTGTTTGACAGTGCTTTCCATATTTAACATACCAAGTAAGCCCAATTAGTTTCATTTTTTTCCTTATAGGAAGAGAGCAAATTTTCCTGAGAAGTCCCAGGGGCCCTCTGAAAATCCCCAGAGAAACTCTCTCTCCTCTTCCAGGTAAAAAGAAAACCTTTATTCAGGACTTGAATATTTTTGTGGGGGGATGCTTGCTAAAAATATTAAAAGCTTTAGAACATTTGTTCAGATAGGAAACAAAGCTCACTGCAAAACCATGTCCAGGTATTTATTCAAAGTGACAGCAGAAACAGTCAAGGGGAAACAGAGTTAAAATAGTCAAAAAAACATTTTTATAATCTTTTTATCAAGAGCAGATTAAAAGTTTAGGAAAATTATCCCTTTAAGAAAGAGGAAACCAAGTTTTAACTTTGTACCAGTTTACTTTTGACATTGAAATATTTACTTAATAAATTTATTTTAACCTCAGTCAACTTGACCATACATAAAACTCTTTAGGGCTTTACTTTCACAAACCTTTGGCTACTTATCTTTTACATTTAGAATTTGTCCCAGTACTTGAGGACAAATTATCTTTCTTAACTCAAGAAACAAAAACATTTCCATTTTTGGTCCCGCCCAGTAGCGCAGTGGTTAAGTTTGCACATTCCACTTCAGCGGCCCGGGGTTCTCAGGTTTGGATCCCGGGTGCGGACATGGCACCGCTTGGCAGGCCATGCTGTGGGGGGGTGTCCCATATATAAAGTGGAGGAAGATGGGCACAGATGTTAGCTCAGCACCAGTCTTCCTCAGCAAACACAGGAGGATTGGCAGCAGATGTTAGCTTAGGGCTAATCTTCCTCAAAAGAAAAAATTTTCCATTTTTTATACCTTTTTACTGAAAACACATATTTTACTTTCTTTGTATACAGACCTTTTAGAAGTATGTTCTCTCATAGAAAATTCCTCAGCATACATAAAACATGTTTATTAATAAACCTAAGCACTTTTCAGTTTCTTTGATATAAGAAACCAAAGGCAGACAAATATATGCTTAGTAGTTAACCTTTATTATCTTACGTGGAAATGACCTAAATACCCAATAAACTGTTATTATTTAACTTAACTTAGTAAAGCTATAAAGTCTGTTTCCAAAAAGATTTTGGAAGCTGTTTTTTAAGTATGCAGACTATAAACCATAATTATTGTACTTAAAAACTCTTATCCAGTTTTAAAAATCGTGTTTAAATTACTCTTAAAAACTTCGTGTGGCATTAAAGCAGTTGACCACCATTTTGTTTTAAGTACGTAACCATAATGCATACAATTATTGTTAAAAAGTTTTTCCAAAAACTTTTATCTTTTTACATTTGCTTGGTTTACCTGTCTTTAGCAATTATATTTAGATGTCTACAAAAACCTCATGAGACAGTAAACAAAATTAACTATTACATTGAGTTATTACTCTCGCTGACAAATTTTGTAACAGAGATGACAGGAGCTCATTACCTGTAAACCCAGGCTGTATGTCTGCTCCATATCAGTGCTGATAACTCTGAGGACATGTCTATTTTAAATCAAACCAGCAAACGTAAACAGGCTCTCATTTACTAAAGATCATTTCATATCACGTTAAATAACTGTCTTTCAGAAGTTTTGACATATTAATCAAAGACTACATCTCGTTATGAGAGATTTTGAATCTTCTCTTTTCTGAAACAGAGGTTTCCCAGAATGGCCATTACAATGTTAAGTTATCTCAAAAGTTTACTTATTTTTACTTGTTAAATTTTAGATCAGGAATTTTGGGGGAGTTGAAGGTCAGCCCAGCTTTCTGGGAAGCTCAGCAAGAGAGCAGACAAAAGCAGCAGGTTTGGGTTCGGCTGTGGGCATGTTTAATTATTATTATTTTTTTCTTAAAGAGGCAGTAAAGTATTTCTGAGTTTATTTAGAAGCCTCAAAAGATTAAAACAGGCTTCCCGTTATTGTAGCTGGCTTTTTCCAATTGCATATGTAAATACACCAGTTTGGGTAAACTGAAACTGCCCCATTTAAGTATATCAATTTTTACAATCTTTTATCTTAGTTTTGCAACTCATACTTTGAATTATAGCTTATATTAGAATTCATTAACATGTTTTGGCATTACAATATTGCATAGGGGAAGCATTCCCAGCTAGACATAACATTTATTTCCAAAGCAAATATCCAGGCAAAGTTGACATAACCTCTTCATATAATATTAGCTTAAACACTTTAATTTTTATAGTCTTATTAACATTAGCCTAACTGTTGCCCCAAACAATTGCTCGTCAGGTTTTTTAATTGTGATTTCTGCCTTCTGATCTTTTAAAATTTTTCAAACTGGGGTGAACAGAACTGGTTTGTCTGATGTCCTTTAATGTTGGGGGGCTAATAGAGGGGTCCCTTTAGCCCATCCAACCTTAGGCAGTGTTTTATTAAAACCTTTGTTTTAGTTTTATTTATATCTGTTCCAATTATCCCATTTTAAAAAAATAGTTAAAGATTTTCATCCTGTTGGGATGAGTCCTGTGACTCTTTTCTTTTTGATTTTTCTTTGTTAACTTAATGTTTTTATTCGCATCTGTAAGACCATGAGAAGAAGCTGAGACCCCCAAGTTTGATTAAGTTCTCAAGACTAGTCACTGTATTTTTCTTTTAATTTAGTCTTTTCAGAGGTACCAATAAAACAGCTGTTTATCATGAGAGCTCTCTAAAAAGTTTTCCAACTTGAGGATCCATTGTTTGGCCATTTTTTTTTTTCTCTCCAGAGTCTAAAGAATATTGTGGCCACGTGGTGCTACAAAAGAAAATCATCCCTCTTCATATATTGGCTTATAGCTATAGGTCGACCATCAGCCAAAGTTTTTCCCAGGGGGCTCTTAGGTGGCATAGATGCAGGACTTCCCATGTTAACACTTTTAAAAGGATAGACAAACAGATAAACAACAGCAAACACCAAATAAGTGCGCTTTCCCAAATACCCTCAGCCACAAACGAAAGCCAAAACAAAGACCAAAATAAAAAACCAAAGTGCTTCCAGTCCCGGCTTAGTCTGTGTCCTACACTCGGTGGGCGCCCAACAAATGAAGATCCGGTATGTAGATCTTCCCAAATGAGCAAGGACAAGGGACCTCGGTTGTGCACACCCGGGGGATTTACCAAAATTTGGCTGGGGCATCATGACTTCAAAACAAATGGAGCCCAGAGGGCTGCCAGGTACCCATTATTTCCAGCCGGTCCTGTTGGAAAAGGGTAACACAAAGACAAAAACAAAAACTACCAGCTACTTACAAGAGACGTCTTCCTAAGTCCTGAACCTAGTTTCTTCCACCACCAAAGCAAAATCGCCGTGGGCCAATGACATCTGGTTAGCAGCCAGTTGCTTGGGGCTGTCCCTGAGACAAGGGGCTCAGGCAGCTGCAGGACAGCTTCCAGGAGAGGCCTTTAGCCAGAGGCTGGTGTGCCACAGGCAAGACGGCCACTTGGGACATGGTCCCATCTGGGTTGCCAAATTGATATCAAACCTGAAGTGAGCTTGCTCACCTGTTGTGCAGCAAGCCAATCTCTGACACTGCATGCAGCGGAAGAAAGTAGGACTTTATTACCACATAGCACTGAGCAAGGAGAAAGAGCAGCTAACGTTGAAATCCCAAACTCCCCAAAAAGCTAAAAGGAAGGGTTTTTATTGGAGGTTTTAGGTAGCGGTCGGGGAGCATATGGCCCTGCTGGTCAGAGCTTTCCCACCAGCCTGTCTTTGGCCTTGAGACTACTTGTAGAGAGGAGGGAGCCCGTGACCTTGCTGGTCAGCAGCTTTTCCACCAGCCTGTATCTCTTTGCGGGGAGGAGATAATGAATCCAGGTCCTTGTCCTTGGTGGTGTCTGTCTCCAAGGGGAATAGTGGATTCTGGAGCCAGGAAGCCAGGGAGTAAGCAGGGAATGAGTGTTTTGGTTTTAACTCCACATATGTTGGGTTTAACGTGGGGGAACCGATATCAGGGTCAGTATCAATGAGTGCCACCCTGCCTCCTTTATTCTCTTTAGAAAACCTTGTTTTCTACTTGACTGTGAAGACCACAGCCGTATGGTGTGAGGTCACTCAGCACCTGCTCTCATCCCCTCCAGCCTAAGAGAAAACAAGTCTTTCTCCTCCTGTTTAGAGCAAATCCCGTGTTCTTGATCCACCCCTCTGCTCTCCTTGGGATCTTATTCCATCAATTATATCCTCTCTTTTTGGTTCACACATTTTTACACATTCATATATTTACTGGCCCCTCACTGTATGCAAGGAATCCTGCAGGCACAAGGTTGCAGTGATTATGGAAAGTATGATGTGTGCTATGATACAAGTACAGGGTGCCACAGGAGCACATGGCAGGGGACCCACCCATCAGGAGGATGAAGGAAGGCTTCCTAGGAGAACCCCATTCTCTGCCCAACCCCCTTCCCTCCGTATGCTCCACTTCACTGCTCTTGTCAAAGTCACCATGACCATCTGTCACGCTGATTCTCAGTCTTAGACTCAATCTCTCAGGAGCACTTTTTTCCATTGACTTTCAACTGTCACTGTTTTTATTTGTTTTGTTTTCTTCATACCTGACTGCCACTTTTTCTCAGTTTCTTTTGCTGTTTCCTCCTCAACATTCCAACTTCTAAACATTCAAGGGCCCACGACTTGGTCCCCAGACCTCTTCTCTTTTCTACTCACATTTGCTCAGTGATCTCGTTCAGTCCCATGGGTTTAATTGGCAGATGACCCCCAAATTTATGTCCTGCGCTAGGACCTCCTCTTTCAACTCCAGCTTCATTTCGACATCTCCACTTGGCCATTTAACAGAAGGCTCCAACTTAGTACGCCCCAAATTGAACTCCTGATTTCCATTACCTGCTCAAATTTCATTTCTGCTGCCATCTCCCACTAGCTACCGTCTCCCGGCCAGTAGAATGGTAACTCTGTTCTACTAGCTGCTCGGGCTGAAATCCTTGGTCTTATCCTCGATTTTTCTCTTTCTCTCACACCCTGCATTCATATCATTGGCAAATCCTGTTCACACTACTTCAGAATTCATCCAGAATCTGAGCACTTCTCATCCCCTCCACCGTTACTGCACTAGACAAAGCCACAATCGTCTCTTACTTAGATTATTGCAATAACTTCTTAAACTTATATGCTTGCTTCCATCCCTGCCCTCTAGTCTCCCCACAGCAGCCAGAGGAGGAAACCAGCTTATGTCATTCCTCTGCTCAAAATCCCCAAACAGCTTCCCATCTCATTCAGAGCAAAAGCTGACGTCCTTACATGATCTAGCCCAATGACGAGTAAAATAGACACGGTCTCAGGAAACTAGAGGGGTAGGTAGATAGTTAAAAATATTCAAAAAAATGAAAAAACTGAAAATTAGGAGAAATGTTGGATAAGACGCAGTGATACTATAAGAACGTATCACTGGGATATCTAAGCTATTTCAGGAGGCAGGGAAATTTTCCTTCAGGAAGTGATGTTTGAGTCATTTTACGACATACTGGTAAGAAAAAATACTGTGCAGCTAATAGACAAAAGTCGTGTGTGTCCCACTGGGGCTGATGTGCAAAATTCCCTCTCATGGGGGTCGAGGACACATTGCCTGCTTTTTCCAGGGCACCTCCTGTCCATTTTAGCTGCAGAAGCTGGTGCCAGAATTCAGCTGCTTTGCCCAGCTTAGGCTTCTGCACAGTGAGAGGAGCAGGGGATATGACCCCCCATTCACCACACTCTCATCGCTCACTGTGGTCTCCTCTGGTGCTGCCTCCACATGGGCCCGGTATGGGTTTAATTTTCCCAACCCCTTTCCAGCCTCCCTGAGAGAAGATAGTCCTAGATATTCTCTATATAGATAGTATCTAGATAGTTCTAGATAGTTTCTTGGCATGTTCTAGACTGCCAAGTTGGGACACCAGGAGCCAGTCTTTAGTGCATGCCTCCTCCCAGGAGACAAGTTCTCCTTTATAAGGTAGAATTTGCCATCAGAAAAGATGTTTGCCAGCCCCTCCTCTTCCCTTGCGGAGGGCAGGATTCCAGCCTCTGGAGGTGGGGCAGGGAGAGCAGCAAATCTGCCTGACTGACTTCCTTGGGTCCATCCTCTTGCTTTCCCGGCCTCTTGGGTCTTTGTTACTGCCTCTGGTCTTGCTATGAGCCATGTTCTGCTCTGGCATGGTCAGTCATGCCCGGGGTTCCACTTGCAGCCCTCAGCATGCAGGTGCCCTTTCAGTGGGAACCTACCCCAACTACTGTTACGTCAACCCTTTAGTCTCCCTACGATGAGCACATTAGGTTGGGTAGTTTATGCTGTTTTCCTCACTGAAAGGTTAGGGCAGTTTCATAAGGGAATTATAATGCAGGAGATAAGAAAGGAGGATGGGCCCAGACTCTGGCCAGGGTGGCCAAGGGCGGTCCCGTTGACTCCTTGTTGATATTCTCTCCAACAAGAGCTGCAGGCCGGTGGCTACTTCCATTGGTGGACTCCATAAAGGAAGCCACCCCCTAAGGACAGTCACTGACTTTTTTAGGGCTGGTACAGCCGAAATCCTGACTGAGAAAACGGGGGCTCGCTAGTGCTGGGGGTCTGTAGGTCCATTTCAGGCATAGGGGACTTCGGTTTCCTCCTCCACTGAGCTCGCCTCTTTCTCGGGACTCCCCCCACAACCCAGTCCGGCCATCTCCCTCTTAAGGGAAGGGGGCTTGTCAGTTCTCCTGCCGTGTGTATGATTGCGTGCTGAGCGGGGGCCTATCCTTTCCTTGATTGTCTTGCTCCAAGTAGGAATATAAAAACCCCCCTCTGCCTTTAAAAGCTGTCATCATCGCTTCGACTTTATTGCGAGCCTCAGCTGGCTTGAGGTGAGCGTGCCTCCCACTATTTTCACAGACTCCCACAGTCTGTGTGCTCCTCAGGTGTGCCCTACTCCACCGTTGGCACCAGTTCCTCAGAGACAGAGGCTTCTGGGGAACCCATAGGAGGTCAGGGTGGAGAAGGCAGGCGTGGAAGAGGGCAGGAGTATGACTCACCTCAGGTGTGGCTGAGGGGACAGGGGTGAGGTGCCTCAGGGCCTGGGTGGTGCTGGCTATAAGTCACAGGCAGGGGATTGCCCCTGGCCCACTGCATGGGTGTCCTTTGCCCTCAGACCAACCAAGGACATCATGCCATCTAGCTGGGTGTACTGTGGACAACCGGCGTGTGAAACCTCAAAGTGACAACATCAGAGGGGAGGGGGCTGAGAACCAGCAGAAATGAGAATTGCCTGAAACTCACGCGGCAGAGGCAAGGGATGAAAGAAAGGCCAGGGGGGTTCCGGATTGGGAGCTGCCTGTTTGGGATCTGAGGAAGAGGGTGGAATCACGATGACTGTGGCTGGAAGGCAGGAAGACTTCCTGGAGGCTACGTGTAGTGCTTTCTCTCACTCATTTTTAACCACTCAGTAACTGTAGACACCTGGACACAGTGTAGACACTTTTCCAGTATAAACTGGAAAATAAAAGAACCCCCAACCCATGCCCTGGGAGTAACTATTTGGCTTATTTCCTTCCGTAAGAGAATTTATATATATACTCGTACACATGTATAAAGATATGGTTATATATAAATATCTTTGAATGTGTGTATATATATAATAATATGTATATGTCGTATCTTTTTAAAAGCCCAAATGAGCTTACACCATATGAATGTCACGCAATTTATTTTTTTCACTTAATGGTATTGTTTAAGCGTCTTTCCATGCGAGGACTCTGGACCTATTTTACCTTTTACTGTTGTACCATATCCCGTGCAATGACTGTACCATCATGTTTGTCACCTAGTCCCTGTCCATGGATATTTAGGTGCTTTCCAGTTTATTGCTAACACAAAAAAAATGGCTACAATGAGCCTCCACATACACGTGTCTTCGTGAACTCATATGAGTATTTCTGAAGGATACATTCCTAGAAGTGGATCTCTTCTAGGGTATAATTTTTCTTAAGCATCATTTTTTCTTACAAAAGCCTTTTTACAAAAAAAGGCTTTTTTTTTTTTTTTTTTTACAAGGCTTTCTTTTTTTTACAAATGCCCAAGATGGAAAAGTTGAAAGATAAATAAGAGCACATTAAAAAGCTGAAATCATCTATAATCCCTCCCAGGCACACTGTTTTGTCATCTTCCTTTTCACTTGATGAATTATCATGAACATGATTCTATCTCATCAAATAATCTTCAGATGTGAGCTCTGAACCTTCTTTCAGCACAAGGGAAGGCACGGCCACTGGTCAGTCACAGTTATGTCACCGTCCCAGTGTGCTCGACATACAGTAGATGCTCAATATCTGCTATTGTTGAAGAGCATTATCTGGATGATTTTAAAGATCTCCCTACCTGTAAAGGTCAAGAAGGCTACCAGGGGGTCCTCAGTCAGGTGCACATAGAAGAGACAGGGGAAGAGGCAGGGCTGGTTCACAGCAGGAGAGAGGACAGAGCTCAGAGAAGTAGAACAGGCCAGGACGTCCCAACCAGCAAGACTGAGTCCTGGTGTGTCAACACAGGTAAAAGGTGTTAATTATGCCCCCCCTTCCAGGTCAGGGGGTATAGCTCAGGGGTAGAGCATTTGACTGCAGATCAAGAGGTCCCCGGTTCAAATCCGGGTGCCCCCTGCTTTGCCTCACTTTTAGTCCACTTAATCCCCAAGTGGGTGCTGTATCACCGGTTCCCCCAGGCCACGACACAGGAAGAAGATGAAGCAGATCAAGCTCTTTGACCCACAACTCCTCAGAAAGTGCAGACACATTCTGCATTTAGAGACGCTCCCTCAGGTGAATTGTACCACATTGAAGTTTACAAGGCACAGATCCCTGCCCCCAGTCCTCGTGGGTCTCACTCAGCTCCAGCCTGAGATTTCCCTGTTTACAGGAGCTCGAATCTCAGATCCATTTGATTCCCAGAGAGAGGGCTGAGTATGTCTCCATCTCCTGCTGTTTGCTCCAAGCACCCCACATGGGCTACATAACACTGGAGTAGTTGAAGCAACAGGAGTATCATGTACCCCTACAGTGGAGTAGCTGCCTAGCTTCCTGAGCTCAGCATGCTGGGCTGTGGGTCAGGGGCCCTAGCCTAAGGCTCCATGCCCTCAGGTCCTAGAGGTCCCACAGGGGCCTACTCCAGACTCACAGAGCCACATCCAGCCCTGCCCTGACGAGGGCCTGGGGAAGAGCAGGATTCTGGTTGGCTTTGTAGGACTAACGTCAAGGAGTGAGAGAGTGGAGAAGGTGGTGGAGGAAGTCACCTGGGGCTTCCCAGAGGGCTGGCCTGATCCTCCTCACCTCTTTTCTCTCTCTCCTCAGTGCAGAATCATGGGTTCCAGAGAGGAAAAGGAAGCTGGAAAATCAGTGGGTAAGAATAAGAACAGGTAAGGAGCATCTGTCCTTAAAAGCTCATCTCATTATGATTGTCTAATGAAGACCTCTGACCTCTGTGATTACACCTGAAACTCCTTCAGAACACTGAGCTACGTCTAGTCAATCCACAAGACCTGCTCTACTGAAGACGGACGGCATTCCTGCTCACCATCGCCTTCTGCACAATCCTCTGCCTACCCCCAACAATCCACAGCCAAGGACATCTGTGTAAAAGCTATGGCTGTGTCAGTGGAAGGCCTTTGGACTAAATTGAAGCCATGGTTCCCCAGCTGGGCTGCCCATCACAGCATCTGGTGTGTGAGGTGGTGAGAGCAGGGAGTGAGTTTCCACGGAAATAAAGTTCATAGGATTCCTGTCAGACCTCCCGAATCAGAATACTTGGGAGGGGGGCCAAGAGACTATTTTTAAGAAGCTCACTGGATGATCCCCATGGAATGTCAGAATTAGGAACCACTGATTTAGTTTGGTGCTCCATGTTGTAGGCTTGAAAAGAGGCCATAATTAAGAAACATGCCCAAGCACACCTGATTAATAATAGGGTTTGGACCAGATCCCACATGGCTGGTCTTGGGTTCCTTCCACCCCCGCAACATTGGGGCAAGACACGAACTGGCCTACTGCCTTTACCTGCTTCCCATAGCTGAGCCCTCACTGGGTCAGATGAGACAGATCTTCCCCGGAAATGACCAGAATGATTTCCACCCTACATCTAGTACTAAATGAGATAAGCTCACAGGGGCATGGGAATCTGAACCACGCACCTCTTGACCAACAGTCAGCTCTCTTCCCCTGAGCCAGGAGTCCACTTCAAACTGTCTCCTAATTGATACCATTTCATGGTGGTGACCTCCCCAGGGAGAGACCCTCCATAACCCATTCATTTCTGTTTATCCCTGGTCAGCCCCATGTCCTGCCTGACTCACCCTCTCCTAGTCATAAGCTCTCTCCCCTTTCCCACTGACCCCTCATGTGAGTGACCAGAGGCCTCCTTTGCCCTGCCCGGCACCTTCCCTTCTCCTGTCTCTGGCTGGTGCGCTTTCTTCTCACTGGACCCCTCCCCTCCGCTTCTTTCCTTCCTCCACTTCCTCCCCAGCCTGTTTGTTCTAAAATCTCCCCAGTTCTCCCCACCCTCATCCTTTAGACCACAGCCTGGACTTTGCTTTCTTTTCCATCTTCTACCTTTTCCTCCTCTTCATCCCAAGGCCAAATCTGTGAGCTGAGACCAGGGGAGGCATTTGGCCAGAAAGGCTGAAGCCATCCTCCCGGTGAGCAGCCCCACCTGCCTGGATCATCAAGGCATCAAGGTAGGTGCACTGACCCCTGATGCCTCATATCAGGGGTCAGCACAACTGGAGGGGCAGGGATTGGGCTTAAAGCTGCCTGTTTGGGAACCAAAACCCAAAGGGGCTTCTGACCTGGGATGGGGACCGTCTCCCTCTGCGGGCTGAGCCGCGGCCCAGAGAAGTCCGAACACACCCACATCTCCCATACAAAGACAGATCTGCAGGAGGCCCCGCACTGTCCCCTCTGGGAGCCACAGGCCGGGTGGATTTCAATCTGTAGCACAAGGATTATGATAGGTTGGAAAGACCCCTAGGTGTTTTCAGTTATCACGAGTGGGCAGCTTCTGCATTTGGCGGGTGGGGCCAGGGTGAGGGACACTGTGAGCAGCTCTGTCTGTCGTGATGAGAGAGGCTGCTTCAGCTGCAATGGGGATCTGGTGGCCTTTGGCATTTGTTTGGATCTTCGTATTGATTTCTCCACTTCCTCTCATAAATCTCCTGTACAACTTTTGGAGTACTGTTCTCTGAGAAATACCCCAACTTTCATGCAAGAGACCAGGGAGGCACTGAATTTAGCAACTGCAGGATCACATTTTGCCTCTGGCATTACGTTTTGTCGCATGGTGCCTTAGATTCTCTCAGCACGGTCATTGAAAGCCCCGTGTGCCCTACTGTGCATTGAATGAAGAAGCTGGACTTTGATCTAGTCATTTCTGGTGTGTTAGAATCAGCCCCCGCCCCTGCAGCTTCTCATCCCGTCTTAAGGCAGCAGTAACCGGCCGTCTTGCTCTCACTGGGCACTCCATTTCAGCTGACCACAGGCAGCAATTTATTTAGCTTCCAGGAACCCTGGTCTGCTAGACTCCCATCGAGGAAGGGCGACCTGGACTTCTACTGACTTAGTAAAACTAGGTCTGACAATTAACCCCACCTCCCACACACTCCCATTTCTATGAGGAGCTCTTGCTTGCAATTCACTCCTGGTAGCAATTACTATACTAGCCACAGCACACAGGTGTGTGCATGTGACTACCTGCCTCTGTCTAACAGAAACAGATGGGACCACGGCTGACAGGCCATCAGGAGCCCATGGCACCGGAGGGAGGGTGGGAGAGCCCATGGCCAGAATCACAGCCAGGGCAGGAGCCTCTGCTGCCCCCGCTGGACACTGGATGAGCCACCAGCCCTGCATCAGAGGCTGGAGCTCTGCCTCCCTGAAATGAAGTACAGTCGGTCTCCTGCTTCTGTATTTCGCTCACTCCACAAGTCTGAGCTGGGCCCTTGGCCAGCAGTCATGGGGCAGCAGTATTTGGCACATTTGTTTGGTATAGCAGGTTGCAGAGCTGTGCTTTCCAGAGACTCACACTATTTGGGATTGCTGAAATAAACGAAGAAGGTTCGGGTGCTGGGAAGTCAAAGAATAATACATATTTCCACTTGAAGCCAAAAGAGAGGGGCTGACTATCACACTGGGGTTGGGTGATGGAGTTCACTTGGGTCTGTGAGAAACACAGAGTGAACCCCTCAGGTCCTGGCCCACCTCTTCTCTCTTCCCTCCTCATAGAGGGTTCAATGTTGGGGGGGCAACAGCTGTTATAGGGGATAAAAGCAGACATGTTAGGGGGCACCTGGATTTGAACCAGGGACCTCTTGATCTGCAGTCAAATGCTCTACCCCTGAGCTATACCCCCACCTGCTCACTTGTGTCTAATAAACACCCTAAACCTGTAGAGCCACACCCTGGCTGGCACCATCTTGAGATGTGTTCTTGCTAGTGCTCTGCCATCACACACCCCTGCAAATTGATGTCCTTTCTACTATGCCAGCCCCTATCCCCGGATCTGTACACACTTGACTGCCACCTCTACTTATAACCAGCATCCTTCCTTCCCTCAGCCCCGGGTGAAGGCCTGTCATTGAAATCATGAAGGTTTGCAGCTAGAACATTCTTCAGACTCACCTAGAAGAGCAGGACTCAGAACTGGCTGCTCAACAGACCCTTTGAGGTGAGGAGGGGGTGGGCAGGGCTGGGAAAAGTGAAAGTTCTTGGGCCCCACCTGAGAACCCCTAAGCCAGACTCTCTGGGAAGGTGACAGGGACAATGCATGCTTCTAACAAGCTCCTGGTGATTTTGACTCACAGACAGTTTTGGAGGTATTAATTTAATCTGTGCCCTTCATGGTATAGATCTGAAAAAGTGACAGTAATTAAAATCATGCCCAAACAAAACACACCTGATTAATGACCAGGTTCATGACTAGAATCCACGTTTATGATTGAGGCCTCTTTGCACTAAACACTCTGGGCAGGAGAGGAGAGGAGCTGCCCCCTTTATTTCTCCTCTTCTTCCCCCATTTTCTCCTTTTGCTTCATCTTTCCATATGACAGACGGAAGAAGTATCCTGAAGAGAAGATGCAATCCATGGAAAAGTGATGAACGGGGAATGAGGGAGATTTATGGTCACTGGAGCACAGACACAGGACAGAATGAAGGCAAATACGTGGTCAGAACAAAAGGACGAGCCAACAAGTGACACACAGACTTGAGCAAGAGGCTACTTAATATGTAGTCAAAGACGTGCCCCTGTTTCCCCTTTCTGTCTAGACTTTCCTGATTAGCCCCATTTCACCCCTGTCGTCCCACGGCATCTCCCCAGGATCCAATGTGTATTGTAATCTCTCCTCGTTTCTAGTGAACTAGGGGAACTGACCCATGAACCTCATTTAGACAGACCTCCATCTGGCTTTGAACTTGCTCTGTCCTTCCACAAAGCCTTATCACATGACTTCCAGAAATCTTTCCCGCCCAGAACCCTGCCGCCTCCTCCCATAGGGTGGTGCCAAGCTGGAGAATCACTGTGTAGAGCTGGAATCTTCCTTCTTTCCTTCCCTCCTACTTAAGTTTTATCTTTGCTGACCCACTCCCTGCACTCTTTCTCAAGCTTACCCTCACTCTCAGCACATTGGTTTACTTTGGGCTGTGTCTTGTGTTTCTTACTCTCTGCTCTTCCCCCTCTTCTCATTTCCTATTCCTTGGCTTTTAAAGAAAGATGCCTTACCAGAGAGGTCACAGCGCCATGCTGGTCCGAAACCATCAGTTCGGCATGGCTGGATCACGTGGGGCCAGGCACGAGGACTGGCTATGTAAGCACTCAAACCCAGGCCTCCAGCATCCCCTGGACTGGGACCAGGGATTTCGTCCTGTGTGGACCTTTCTGCTGGAAGTTACCACTATGAGGCCAAAAGACCATATAGATCCCCCAGGATTCAGAGAAAGAACAATCATCCAAAGGGGCATGGCATATGGAGAAAAGAACAGTAGGAACGATGTCAGGGAGGTGGAGCCCAAAATTCATTGTGATTTGTGAAGGAGGATCAGGGCAAAGACAGAGCGTTTTCTTCTTTTTCTTCTTGAGGCAATAATCTATTTAATATTTTGATTATAAATACACTTCCAATATAGAAAATGTAATTTCTCTAACGTGCCTTGTAGAACTTAAGAATATGGCATGTAAAGTGTTAAAAGATTAACAGGTTAGGAAACACAAATAAGCAGGAAGAAAAAATTAAGTTACCTGTAATGTCATCAGCTAAACAAATGTTAATATTTTGACACCTATACATCCAAATTTATAGCTTAGAATCAAATTTCTTCCTAGGAGAAAAGTTCAGCTAGTCACTAGCCACTTGGTGGTCTCCCTCCAGGCTTTCTCTCCCTTTGGCCTCTGTGTTCACTTCGAAACATTCCTATTCCTTTCCTGAAAATGAAAAAGAAAGTAGGAGTTAAAGAATTCGGTTTTGTCATCAGGCCTTTATGCTTGTTTCTACTGAAAAATAACTCTTAAAACCACATTTGTGGAATTTTCTTCAAGGTAGGATGAAGGAGCTTGTGGCATGCTAGTAGCCCTGCCAAGAAGAACTAGAGGAGTCAGTTGATCAATGAAACTCACACTTTAAAGGCATCAGAGAATTGCAGAAGCAGCAAAGACTGGACGAGAGGGATGAGAGAGCCTCTTAGAAGTGAGTTGAAAGGCTGCAGCCACATTTTACCTGGGGATATTTTCCCATCTTGGGTGCAGGCTGACAAACGGGGCTAAGCAGAGGGCTGCTGCCAGGGGACTGAGGAACCAGCAGAGCTTTCAGTGGCCTCTCAGGGTTAGAGGGACAAAATTGGAGACTTGGAGGACATCACACATCTAGACATTCGCTGAATTCTGTAAGTATGTAGGGCAAAAAGCTACAAAACTAAGCAAAAACCTCTGAAAAAGCAGAATAGAATTTACAACAGTCTCATGGTACTGAGAAGCTGAAAATCCACCAGGAAGGGGCCCCTGAGAACACATCAGGAGAGAGTGAGAGCCCTGGAGGGGGTGGTGAGTTGACACTGATGACCTGCAGCCACTGTTTCCCTGAGACACTTGCCAATTCTGGGCCCAGCGAGGGGCTGAGCTTCCAGTGTCGGCACCAGCACAGAGATGCCAGGAAACATAAAGACCAAAAGAGCTTTTGGCAGTTGTGCAGTGCTGAATGTAGAAAATGGAGACTTTGGGGTCCTTAAATATAGAACTAGTTTCCCTTCCTCAAGGTAACTGCTGTACTATGAAAGTTCCATGAAGCAAGAGGCTAGAAATCTAAGCCCAAACCCTCTAAAAGAAGAATAGATTTTCCTGTATTTCAGGGCTGAAGAGACAAAGAAACTTTCCAGGTTTGCTGGAAACAAATCTGGGAGGGCCACACTCTAAGACTGGGACAAGACACAGGTAGAAAGAGTATTACCAAAACTGCATTTTTGTTTTTCTTACCAGGAAAGACTTCTCATCCCCTTATTGGTTTAAGGGAATCAGCCCTCAACTATACCCTTCCTTCAGAAAAAAGAATGAACTCTGTCTAGTGGAATATAATTTCATCTGGGGCCTTTATTCTTTGAATACACAAAGTCTGGCATTCAATAAAAATTACTAGATTACCAAAAGACAGAGCCATATGAACGAAAACTAAGAGAAAAAAATCAGACGATAGAAGCAAGTGATCTAGATGTTGGATTATAGAATTTAAAATAACTTTTATAATACATTTAAGAAAACAGGGAAATGGAGAAAATGGGAAAAAGTATGGAGAATTTTGCCAGTTATAATTTATAAGAAAAAAATAAAAGGAAAGTCTAAAACTAAAAAGTACAATATTTAACATTAAGAATTTAATGCACGTGTTTAACAGGAACTTGGGCACAGTGGAAGACAGGATTAGCAAATAAGAAAACAAATCAATAGAAAAATAACGAAATTGAAGTACAGAAAGGGAAAGAATGGACAAAAATAAAAAAAAAATAGGAGACAAATGGGACACAGTTAAAAGTATGTTATTGAAATCTCAAAAAGAGATGACAAAGAAAATGGTGTAGAATAGAGATTTAAAGGAATAATTGGGGAGCATTTTCCAAAATGTATGAAAAGATCAACCTACCAATTTATGAAACTTGTGAGACAAACGGAAGATAATACAAAGGAAACCACACCTAACTACATCATCATAAAACTGATTTTGAAAAAGACAGAAATCTGAAAGAGAACCTGAGAAAAACTCAATTTTTTACGATTGACAACTGACTTATCAACAGAAATTATGGTATTCAGGTGACAATGGAACAGGATTTTCACAGCACTGAAAGAAAATAGCCCTAGAATTCTATACAACAGTAATTAGTTTAAATACAAATTTATTAAAAGCTTCTATTAAAATGTAAGATTTCCAGACTGAATGGGAAAACAAAAACCCACTATAAGCTACCTACATGAACCTCATGTTAAACACAGGGACACAGAAAAATGGAAAGTGAAAGTATAAATAAAGATACTCTACGCAAATACTAAACAAAAAGGCTAGTGTGGCAATATTAACGTGATGCAAAATATGCTTTGTCAGTCAGCACTTCCACAGATAAAAATAATATTTTAAAATGATAAAGAAGTCAGTTCATCAGGAAGATATTATAGTTCTACATCTAATTGCACCCAATAACACAGTTTCAAAATATATGAAACAAAAATGAAGAGAACTAAAAGGATAAATAGACAAATCCTCAATCCTAGTAGATGTTAACACATCTTTCTCAATAGTTGATAGAACACGCAAACAAAATGTCAGTAAGGATGTGGAGAATCTGAATAACAGAACTAACAAACATGACCTAATTGATATACATAAATTAGGATACAAGCAAGAAGGAAAGATGTTGTGACAAGGAAGCAGAACACAAAGAGATCCTGGGAGGGGGACAATGTTCTATTTTTGAGCTAGGCAGTGGATACCTGAGTATCTATAAGTATTTATTAAACTGTACTAAATTGTACATATAAGTACATATGTGCTTTTCTGTATGTATATTTTACAATTAAAAATCCATTTATCGGTACTTTCGTACACTACTGGTGGAAGTGCACATCCACATGTCTTTTCTGGAGAGAAACTTGGCAATATAAAGGTTTCAAATATGCACATGCAGAAATTCCATGTCTAGGAATTTATGCTAAAAGCAAAACCAGATGAAAAACAGAGACGCATCTTTAACAAGACCTTTTTCAGGTAGTACGTAAGGGTGGAAATTAGAAACTGCACAGATGTCCAGCAAAGGAGGGTTGGCTAAATAAACTAATAGCAGCCGTACGGAAGAATCCTATGTAGACACGACGAAAGGTGTCCTGAAAGGTTTTTTATTAGCATGAAAAGTTATCAAGACTTTTTAATGTTAAAATACAATAAAACAGGAAGAATAGTTTCATTTTTGTGAGAAAATTATATCATATTGTAAACATATATTATCCCTGAATTGACCTATTTGCATATATAACCTATTTGCATATCTCCCAACAATTTAGTTTTGCTTAAAAAAAAAAAAGCAATGAGTCCAATTGCCTGTGTCACTTAAACAAGCATTGCTTTTATCTGAAAAGAAACTGATCCTAAAAGAATTGAAATGGGTCAGTGGAGACAGGTCCTGAATGCCCAAAACCTGCTCTCTTCCTGATGATGTTGCACGGAGGACCCAGCGTCCAGGCTGGTGGTCTCACAGCGCAGGGCTATCCTGATTCAGAGCCTCTGACCTCATTTTGCTGACTCCAATGCTTTTCTTATTTGGGAGAGTTCTTGCATTCCTGGAGAGCCAGATACATTTTTCTTACAAAGCTTCTGTCCCTCACCCACTGGCTGTTCCAAGCATGTCGTCAAGTAGCGCTTCCAATTGCTGGAAGTAAGGAGAGGGTGCAGGCAGTGGTATCAGTTGGTGTTTTTTCACAAAGTGCTTAATTTAAGGAAAGGATTTGTGGGAAACATCACAGAATTGCTAGGAAGCAGAGGACAAGGCTTGGGAAAGGCAGGACCAAGTCAGCCTCAGAGATCACAACAGCAATCTCACCGTGAGGCCAGAGTGGTCTGGGAATTGCATCTGCATGATCCAGAACCAACTACCCAAGATGCTTTGTCTCTGGCCATGGCTTGAATTCCAAGAAGAGAGCATCTGCAGGAGCCAGCTAGCATCAGGGCACACCCACCTCCCAGCTATAGAAGGTCCAAGGTTCCACTCCTACCAGACCATATCCGAGGAAAACTGGGATGCTATCAGGAAGGGGACATGGATGTTGGGAAGGCAAAAAAACTTGTGTATGTCCACGGCATCAGTTATTATTGAGACATTTGAATCAAGAAATGAACAGGAATGGTTGCTGTGTTCGCAATATGGAAATAGTTGTCACAATTGGACATATGAGAGAATGGGAAATTTAGCAGTTCAGCATTTTCCTGTTCTTTATCTTTTGTGTCTGTCAAATATCCCTTTGAACTCAGTATCAAGGCTGTTTCTCTTATTACAAAGTTCAACTTATTATTGGATAACAGCAGGAAGGCTAGACCATTACAGACATTCAAATGAGAGACACGAAAGTTGTGTGTGTGTGCATGAGTTAAATATTAGAACAAAGCTTTGGGTATTGCTGCAAATATAAAAACATATATATATACATACATGTAGGTAGCACTTGGCAACTAGGAACCACCCTGCCGTGTACTACCTACCTGCTCAGGGAGACCCTTTGAGTCTAAGTATTTTATCATTGCTGGCACCACCACCTGGGTAACAGGAAAAACTCCCAATAAAGGCTAAGGTGAGGGCAAGATGTAACAACTTGTCTTTCAAGTTTGAGGAGCTGTCCTGACACCTTCTCAAACTTCACTGGAGTGGCTGTTGCTGAAGTGGCAATTCATACAAGATGGGGCGAGCTGTGAGCCCACCAGGACTGCAATTGGACGATTTGCCTTTGTTTTTTTTTTTAGCAATCACAGTCATTCAGCAGCACGAGCTGAGTTTTCCAGCGCAGTCATCGGAAATCTGCCCATTTCCATCTGTGTCAGGAGAAGAGAATATAGATATTTGAGCTTTCCATTGTATGTCTTTGAGCTTCCCAAGGCTGTCAGACTTGGCTTGGGCCTTCGTACTGTTCTGGACTAACACTGGTCCCTGAAGGTTTTGTTCTCAGTGGGAAGTTTATTCCAAGAAGGACTGACACTCAAAATATTTAGCCACAGCTACAGCACAGACACTGACCAATCAGAATGAACGCCAGCCATAAACAGCCATTAAACGCCCACCAGATGAATAAGCTGCCTGGAATCCAGGTGGTCAGTTGCATCTCTGTGATCAATTACTCAGCTACTTTACAACTGACAGCCTTGGGCTCCCAGGTTGCCAGCCCTGAAGAATCAACAG